CGAATGTACATTCGCCGTCTATTTGTTGCCGTGGCCATACAAGCGCGCCGCGATTGATTCCACTTCGCAATGAAAATACGATACTATCAGTTTCCTATTTTTATATAACCGCGTATATTAAACGATTATTTACTAGATTTAGCGATCATTCGCTGGCGATTCTTGCGCCGTCGCTCGCGCGGAATTTCTCGATCGAGTTAACGGCGCTCTGATCGGCGGCCAAGGTGTACAAGTGTTACGCTATGCAAGCGGTTCGCAATATCGACGTGTTCTCTAATTAACTGATACCGATGGATACCGAGGCGAAGAAGCGATGCGCGTGCATTCACCGTGATTCGAGGCGGAGGAAGTGGAACGCGCGAGCGGTTCGCCAGCAGGATTTAAAATGTGTCAATTCACCGAATTTCCTCCCCCCTTCCCCCCGCTCTTTGCCAACGCGACCTTTTCTTTGCGCGAAACACGAATTATCGGGTTCCCGTACGCGGCCTTGCCGCAAAAACGAGGATTATCGTCCGCGGAATTAATCCGCTTTAATAGAGTGACTTCGGCGGTATTATTTTTGCATTTTACTGCTCGCGAGGATCGGGCTATATCTCTAAACGCCGCCAACTCTCATCGTGATTGCCAGCCTTTTCAATTAGATTCCCAAATCCTCTTTGATTCGATGCACCGGCCGACCTGCCGCCGATTTCCCGGGGTCATAAACGTTTTGACGATTGCATTGACGACGCCATGCAGATGCCAATCACGGCTGATTGCTGACATCGTTATGCGCAAATTCGCGGAGTACCGACGGTAAAAATAATAACGAGAGAGAGAGAGAGAGAGAGAGAGAGAGAGAGAAAGAGCGAGGGAATATAAAACAAAATTGCTGTTTTTCTACGGATGAAGAACACTTTTGCCATCGCACGGGCAATTAGCAATTAACATAACGATGCAAACTACATGACAGCTGAAACCGATTTGAAATCTCGATGTTAGATGCAGAGAAGTGAAAGACAGAGGCACACATAAGAGAGAGAGAGAGAGAGAGAGAGAGAGAGAGAGAGAGAGAGAGAGAGAGAGAGAGAGAGAGAGACACTCAAGTTTATATTCATCGGCAAAGAAAAAAAAAACCTCCGTCAGAATCTCCGGCGGAATCCGGCAGAAGGGACAGTGACGTAAATTACGTTCCAACTCATTTTGAGGAGACAAAAGCGCTCGCGAGAGTGCTTAACGTAAATTACAGATGATTTATTATAGCGTTCTTTTTACCCCGCGAAAGAGAAACACGCAAATTCATTTTGTGCCAAAGTAATTAACCCTTTGTTCCCGGCGTCGGGTGACCTCTACGACTGTCCGGATTTTCACGTTCTCGTCGCCTCATGATAAACAACAATAGGCAGTTTTATCTGGCCGTGGAAGATTAATTTCGCCGAAATTATAAGGCTGCCGAAAGAATAAGAGATCTCGCACGCAGCGCCGGTCGAAGCGACAGCGCGTCATCATGAATAATGCATAAGAGCGAGGCGCTTTACAGCGAATCCGATCGAGAAGTGCGTCGCGCTCAACGATCGAGTTCAGTTTGCGTCCCCCGAAGGGAGAGCGAGATGGCCCACCGACGCGCGGGCTTGCATCGCTATTTCGCGCCCACCGACGTCGTATATCGAATTATACCGGCTAGATCGAACCAATAGACAAGCCACATTTTATTATCAAATAGCCAGTGACCCGATGACGAAACACGCGAGGTGACGAGCGACACACTTTTTCTCACCGGCTCCGTGATTGATGGTGATACGTGCTTCGGGTGTATCGCGCGTGTAACAACGGTAACAATCCCCGATGTTCGATATTCTCGAAGGGAGCGTACGTTATCGTCGATTATTTGGGTAACCACGTACGGGCTTCCAAGGGGTTATTAATTGGACTGTTATTAATTCAACATGCTCCCCGCGAGTTCTCGCGTGCGTGTTCCCGACAACAGCGGGAGCCTGTGGATCTTGCTTACCCTATGGAGGCCGATATCCTAGCTATGAATCTTATCAAAGTGTTTCGTCTCTCCATTTACGTAATTACTATGAACAACATTTACGCGGGCGAGTCCAACGTTCGAGTCGTCTCAGTTTGCCCGTCGCGGACAATAGTTAAGCGTTGCACGATCGAGTCGCGGGCGGTAAAGGCGTGTCGGTATTCATATTCTCGCATACATGTCTCCCTCGCGCTTTCACGAAGCAAATGGATCGAAAAAAAGTGCACCGGTAATATCAAATATCTCTCTCGAGCAGCTGCTTCGTACAACCCCGGGAAGAGTGCGAGAAATTTATAGACTCTCAACGACGCGCGCGACGCGAGCGAATATCCCGATGAAGAGAACTCTCGATCGCGGCGGGATTCAGTCAGGTATTGTTCGCCGTCGTTATCGTAGCGTTATCAAGAATACGCTGCAAGAGTCCGTCCGTGTGAAGCCGTCGGAAAAATAACATTTACGCGACGTGTTACCTAGCCGGCGCGTCTAACTATTGATTTAGCGCTCAGTTTGCGCACCTCGAGTAGAATCAACGCCGCCGCTGGCGTCGTGAGGTATTTTACGGAATGGTTACCGGAACACGATTAGAAGCTGTCGCTCGACGCGCGATGTTTAATTAGGCAATAATTAGCGCTTGCTCCAATTTCAAAGTCCCGGCTGCGCGAGCGCGAGGAAACGAAGCTGTCGGGGAGCACTCATCGACGACAATGTCCTGTGTACGGTTGAGCGAATACAAAGAGGAGGAAGAAGTAGAAGAAGCGGTCGTCTCTCGATTCGCCCGATTATTTTGCGTATCTTTCGTCAACTTGAACGAGTATTTTCGCGGAGGAAGGAACGAGCGGCACTGTTTGCCCGTGCGCCCGCGCGATGATATTTTCCTCGAAAAATCTCGTAAGAACGAGCGCTGCCGCTCAAGCATTCGGAATATTTAATCACCTGGGCTGGACAAAGTATGTCGAATAATTAAAACGAGCCGCGCTCGCGAAAGTAAGGCAATTAGTTCCGTGGTAGCGCCGTTATAATCCAGAAAGGAAGTTGCTTAAAATAACCGGGGAACTGCGCTGAAACTTTTATAATAATAGCTGAGATTATGGATTCTTTTGGGCATTATCTGGTTCGTAAAATAAGAGGCGCGTTTGTCGCGTTTTATCCGCGGTCACTTTGAGCCGTTGCGGCTCTTAATAGCCAAGAAGAGATCGATACGCCATTAATGTGCCCGGGACACGTCGATAAGCTTTATTAAGATTAAATGTTCGCTATTAGCTCGTGTGGAAGCATTTCGAGATGCTCGTTAGAAGTTCCTCTCATTACGGACGGACAATAGTACGGACACGCGCGTTTTCCTCCATCTCTCGGATTTATATGTGCGCTCGGCGTGTATAAATAAATTAATATAAATCTAAATGAACGCGCGTGTATATAACAGGAGTTTTTTCCAGGCGGACGCAAAATGGTCTCGCTCGCACGTTCGCAAAGTGCCGTTTTTTGTCACGAAGGGGGAAAGTAACTGCGAGACTTTGTGTCGTCCCGAAAATTCCGGTGAAAAACAAAAAACGGGATCGGAGTAGAGTGCAAACGGAGAAAAACGGCGGAGTGTTGCAGGGTAAAGCACCATAAAGTCTCATTGGCTTTAATTCGGTTGTACCCCGCCGGCTACCGGGGGGTGATTAATCGTAACGTTACTGCAACACGAAAGCACCTTACCACCGATCATTCCCTGGAACGCTTTAAAAGAAAGTCGACTGTGTTGTGCTTAATGCTATCTCGTCTAATTGGCGATATCTGTCCTGCAAGAAAGATGGGCCAGCAAATTCTTTCTTTTTTTTATCTTTGTATTCATTTAGAACAAACGCGTGTCCCTAAATTAATTTTTTCCAAAGGTAAAAGGCTAATTGCAACAATGCGCAACTAGAGAAGAATTTCCTCCTACAAATGGAATTTGTTCAATGTGATCGCGGAACGCTGTAATTTGAAATTATATAAATATTATTCGTGTTCGGACACATGTTTCGGATATCCTGAGAAATTCCGCCGTCAACTCGTTCCGTTAACAACTACTACCGTTAAAAACGATAGCTACATTTATTAAAATTCATCGTAAAAGAGAGAAGGGACTTTCGGTTTATGATGATGAAGGATTCAGTTACTTTTAAAAGAAAAGGGAAGGAGGATCGATATTTAATCTTTAAATAGAGCGGGATATACATTCTTACGCTCCGCAGTATCCCTTATTAAATCTTGGAAGTTTTTAAGAGCCATCTTTAATTTTTTATTACGTCCTCCTCGGATTACCGAGGAGGCTGAGGAGGATCCGTGGACGAAACGCGGCCCATCTGGGACTCTCCTCCGCTACATACCAAAGATACTCGCGCGATATCTTTTATCGTCCGAGAATAAATCTAGAAATTATCGTTCCGATTCCTGAAAACTACCGAATTAAGCGGACTTCGTTTTTCCGAGATCGCCGAGATTTATGCTCAGGGAAGGAAGGGACGATGAAGCGCGATTGTTCGCGCGAGCGCGAGCGCGCGTGTTATATTGAGGAAGATATTGAGTAAAATTATATGCGCTACATCGTTCACACAAATCGAGAGAGAACGACGAAAGCTGTGCGACACCATCGCCGTTGTACGTTTGCACACGGTTGCAATAAATACGGCAGATATTCGGAAATGAAGTGCTGCATTTAAATCCGTTCGTCGGTATTTAAAAGCGAAGTATATCATCCTCGGGACACATAATCCGCGCGCCGCGAGCGCAGGTCACGCGAAACGAAACGCTTATGAATTCTCGAAGAGTACGTTTATTTCCCGTCGCTTATAAATATGCATGCCACCGCCGCCGTATTTCGCGGTGCGGAAACCGCCGCGGCTGTTCTCTCTTGCTCTATTTTTTTTTTTCGCTCTTCCCCCTTTTCTGTTCTTCCCTTTTTTCACTCGCTCGTGCCGACTGACCGCTGATTGAAAGCGTCCCCACGTCGTTGCTGTTTCAGCTGCGCGAGTACACCCTGACCGAATCGTATCATGAAGACGACGTCGAAGTGGAATTCGTCAGCAACGACAATCTGCAAGCGAACAGCGAGGCTCCCAGAGGAATCGATCCGAACAGAGACCTAAACGAGGCCATAGCCGAGGAACGGAGGGAAATGGACACCCAGAGATACAGGTACGTTTCTCTATCACCGAAAACCTCGAAAAACTCCGGCCTTTTCCGTCCACCCATACATCCCCCTTTCCTGCCGCTACCTCCGCGAAACTTTTTACCTCGTATTTCCCCCGCAACTAGAGAACCGTCAGGGGTTGAGGAAGTCACGTCTCGCGGCGCTACCCGGCGCGACCGGGGACTCTAAAACCAAAGAACTGCCGTTCCCTGCCCATTTTATCACGCGTCTACATTATCGAATTTATTCGAGCTCGATTATGCCGAACGAGTCGGTCGCAAAGTGTCAAGAAAGAGATTGAAGGAGAGGAAAAAGAGAGAGAGAGAGAGAGAGAGAGAGAGGGAGAAAGGATTTTTCACTGAGAATTTTCATGGGTATATCCAGCGAAGCTGGACTACACGCGAATGCGCGATCAAATATATTTCTCATAAATAATATACTATGAAAATATTTTACAAGCAGGAACAAGCAGGGGACGCGCGCGCGGTCACAAGTCCTCAAGTACGCGTATATTTCTTTCTTTTGGTATACGGAGTGGTTCCGCAAAGACACCTAGGTGCTCAATTGAGAAGGGATAGAGAATGGCGGTACCTCATAAATCCACGCTTAATAAGACCGAGGGTCCGAGAAAAATCCCGTTCGAGGTTCGAGGTTCGAGTCAGCTCGTTAAGCCTAGCTGCCGGGTACTTTCTGCAAGTTTTAGTTCCTCCGGGACACCGCCCGAGGCAAGGCTTTTAAGCCTGGGATGTGGAACGATAGATAGTAAAGGCCTTTCCCGACCAGAGGAAAAAAAAGAGAAAGAAGGGGCAGGAAGGGAGAGAGAGAGAGAGAGAGAGAGAGAGAGAGAGAGAGAGAGAGAGAGAGAGAGAGAGAGCGAGGAGGAAGAAAGAGATGAAGACGGAAAGCAGATAGGATCGCATCAGTGACGAGTATGTATTCAATGGACGCACCTGCGTCAAGTATGTTTCATCCCGGAGAAGCGACGATGGCTCGACAACTTGGTTCGCACTTGGTAGATGTTGCGTCATTGATCGCCCCCGAGGAAAGCGGGAAACCACGTGCGACTACCCCATCGGTCGCTTTTTTCCCCCTCCCCCCGAAAGGAAATCGAGAAGAAAAGGCGCACACGCTGAGAATCATGCAATTCTCGCGATAGGATAATGCAGAATGCAAAACGTCGAGTCGCCTTTCTCACGGCGAGGCTCGAATACCTCGAAAGCAAAGCGACCACCGAGAGCGACGCTCCGCTCGCTGCGCGCTCTGACATATCTGCCGAGGCTGAACTCCACGCGCGGCTCGACAAAATAGCTCCCGAAAGGAGGAGAGAATGCTCGCGACACCGCGAGAGATACCCCGATTCTGAATGGCTCGCTCGACTTCGCCCAGCGGCGAAGCTATTTTGAATATCGGGTCAGTGAAGAAATTCCGTTCGATTTTCGATATATCGCGGCGTCGTGTACAATGCTAATAACGTTCCGCTGTCGGTACGCTTGGCGAAGGATCATGGACAATGCGATGACGAAGTCGTTGATTTGTCGAGAGTCAGGAGGCTCATTCGGAGGCTGACCCGATACATTAACTGGTCGCATAAACTGGTGCGCCGCACAACGCGCACGAGTTGCGACGATTTGAATCTGAAGATGCGAAGAAACGAATCGCCGCGAGGCACTTGACGTATTTCGCCAGCGCTGGTGGTGCTTGCGGTAACGCGACAGTAACGAAGACTTGCCGAAGATCACGATGGATCCCGATGGGCTTTGGAAAAAGTTCCACCTTCGACCGCCGTGCACTTTGCAGCTCGTTCACGACACGTGTTCGCAGGAACTTTTTCCCTCCCGATCGCCGATACCATCGTTCGGCCAAGCACCGACCTTTCCTTCCGGGATACCGCGCGTTTCTCTTACTTTATGAAATGCCCTGTATACGCTCCGCGAGCGAGCGATCCGCTCGACCCCTTTCACTCTCTTTTATATCACCGACCTCGGATCTCGCTCTTCTTTACTCTTCCGTCGCCACCTCTCGTCGCGCCCCCCCCCTCCCTCTCACGAGATTTCTCGCTCCTACGTTCCTCTAACGTGCACCCTCTCGCGCTCTATTTCTCTCTTTAACTTTTACGACGGCGCGCATGAAGATCCCGGAGTTTTCTCTTCACGGATACGCCACGGACACGACCGCGCGCTCGGCGTAAAAATCGTCGTACTAGCTCCTGTGACATTTGACAACTCTGCGTGACGTTCACGCGCCAGATAATAGAGCGAGAGAACGTTCATATACGTTCCCGGGTGAAGGACTCGCTCGTTTCACCTCCTCCGATAACGCTTCCTCCTTTATCCCGCAAATTAACTTCGATGAAATTGTCTATCCTTTATTCCCGATGCACGCGCCGGTGAATTACCGCGAACGCCGTCGTTCGCTCCAATTGCGCGGAAATAAAAGTTTAAGGGGAATTTATGGGAATGTTTTGAGAGACCGCTCCCGCACACAGAGCTAATATAAAACGTCCGCGTGTTTCCGGAGATTCAAAAAGGAAAGGAACTTTTCGTCCAAGAGGTCGTGAAATAGTAAACGACCGTGGTACGACTCGTAATCTCGCGACGCCGATATGAACGCGAAATTCGCACGGCTTTTACCGGCCGCCGGCCATTTTAACAACGCAATTCGACGCGATAACCGTGATACTCACGTGACTTCGATAAAAGAGAGGAAACAAAGAGACTCAAATCTCTCCGAGCTAATCTTAATGACTCTTGTAACTCCCAGAATTTCAACTGCGGAAATGTTCCCTAAAATAAACGCGCAGGTGCGCGCTCTCCAACCCTCGGAACAATGTGACGTTTATTCACGCGGGAATAATTTTTCGCGATGCGACTTTTTAGAACAGCCTCGATGCGTGTATAAAAAAAAGAAACTGTGAAATCCGCACACGCGACATGCTGCGCCAGCGGCGGGCTAATTGTCGACCGTCGACGGTCGCTGCAATGTGCATGCTGAGCGCGCGACGGGAATATAATTTCCTTTCGTTTTGTTTATCAGCGAGGAGAAAGGCCGCCCGAAGTCACAAATGCAATTTATTTCGAAATGCAACTAGTCAGATCGGATGCGGACCTCGACCGACATTGAATATCAATAACAGTATTACTGTCCGTGACTGCCGCGCACCTCATGCTCGTCGTTGTGTGTGTGTATGCCCTTCCAGCGAATACACTCAGTACTTCGATATAATATTACACGCACGACAATCTTCTCTCGTTCGACCGTTTTCTTGCGCCGGCGAATGCATCGGGGAGCGAGCGCTTCGAAGCCCGCGCTTTCGAGTCGTTCGATATCGATACCGGGATTTATCACAACGGACTCTGAATTAACAGATACATTCGTTAACTCGAACGACAGTCCGCGAAATAAGACATAACGAGATATCCGCAATCGAATCTCTGCAAATTCCCTAGTAAAATTCTCGCTAATTTTAGATATTCACGATATCACGCCTTGATAACACGGAAAAGGTTAAAAAGAAAAAGGTGCGAAGAACCTTTGACACACCCTCGATGTCCCTCGAGTTTCACATTAGACTGTGGAAACGGTCCGAAAGAAATCAATAGTACGTAGTAGAACCGTGAAAGATCTTTTGCAGACGTGAATGCGCGCGCGCACGAGACACCAAAGAAATAAATAACGCCTTTAAAAGCGCCGATATAAATTCCTAGGCGAAGCGCGTAATAGACGCGCATCGCGCTATAAATACTTATCTCTCGTATTTGAGGCGCAATTGAAGCTGCCATAAATTCGATGTTTCTAACCGGCATAAAACTCCACCACCGTCTTATCTCGCATCCGCAACACATTTGGCCGGCGTTCTCGATGCGGCCCGCATATTCTCGTATGCGCTCGAATGCGCGCGCGTGATCGCCCTGGATATTATTTATCTCTCTCTCTCTCTCTCTCTCTCTCTCTCTCCTGTGCGCGAGAGCTCGCGAAAATGACACCTTTCAGGAGTCAAACGGACTTCCTGCGAGTCCCGGCTGCACAGCCGACTGCACGTACAGCAGTCGGCACACACTCGATTCGGCTGATTACGATATCACTTTCCGCGAACGGTTCGCGACGAATCTCTGCCCGCGATAACGGTAGCCGGCGTGTCCGGTTGGCCGTAATATCCGGCCGGTGCCCCGGCGTTATGTCAGGCCGACGGAAAACATCGACGCCGTCGACGACACGCGCGCGTCAACGGTACGACGTACGGTAGGTACGCGGGGAGCAGCCCTGAAAATAACGTTATAACGCGCCGCTTCCCCGTTATATCGTCTACCACATTTCACACTTGTTTTATTCCGCCGTGGCAGGCGGCGGCAAGAAGATTTTCATGACCTCCAACTTCGATCGAGCTGTCCGACGAAATTGGGAAAATAAAGAAGATATTTTCTCGGGTAGAGCTGCGATCGAGAGCGGTTGCGCGAAATATTACAGACGACGAGAAAATATTTGTGTGCGAGGAAGGAAAGGGGAGGAAAAAAGAGGATCCTCGCGCGCTCGGCGCATGGAAGAGCAAATCCGAGGGGGATAGAAAGTGCGTGCCGGTATTCGCTCGCGCTAAAAAAACGCCCCCCCCCCCCCCCGCCCTCTTCATTGCCGGATTCAATCGCGACAAGAACGCACATAGCTCGAGTCATACGCATCAATATGCGAGACGGGAGAACGGGAGCCACCCTCCGCATTCGGTAATACCGCCATCGGTCGGTATAACCGCGCCGGTCGTTTGCCGATCCGGAGCATCCGTGCTGCGTCAACGGCCTGCTGCTGGCATATCTCTTATCACGTCGCGTCGCGGCTATATTCGCGCTCCCGTGGCCGATTCGGCGACTCGCCGCGAACAAACGCGCAGCTGCGCGTGCTTCCTGCTTTGCGTCGACCCGCGCCGTCGTCATCGTGTTCCGCGGCAGAAATCATATTTGCGTCACGTTCGTCGACTCAATCTTGCCCGATGCGGCTAACGCGATGTCGATCCCGG